GGAGTGGAGCTGGGGCCGGAAGCCAGAGGGGTTCCTGCAGCCCCCACACCTGCCACCGATCGGGTCATCGGGAGCCCGACATCCGCCGGTGCCCCCACCCCCACGGGAACGTGGTGGGGACACACCGAGCGAGGACGTACGACCTGGCCGTTAGGATCCCCAGAAGCCCCTGACCTCCCCTGTGTGAGGTAGAGACCCAAGTCTAGGCCGGGAAAGGGACTGGAAAGAGGCTGTGGCCCGAGTATGTGACCCCTAGCTCTTGCGGGGAGCCGGCTGCAGAATCACTGCAGAATGCAGGCTCTGGGGAAGCTTAGGGGGCCTGGGCCCTGCTTCCTAGGACAGACCTTTCACCCCCATATAACTATGCATGTGGGTTTAGTAAAACGCTTGGACCCAGAATCTGTGCCTGGAAGAAGGAGGGGGTATCTTTCCCCTTTGAGTTGGGGACAGGGCCACACTTAGGCCTGGTAGTTCCAGAGTCTGGCCCATGCCTAGGGGGCTGTTCTTGCACCTACTCCTTGGCTTCCAGACTGTGCCTGGTTTTTGTTTCTGCTACTACTAAGAATGAGTTGGTTTTGGGGCTTGAGAATCTGCAGGTAGTATACATCCTGAAACCTCCAAGCTGCCACACCCAGAGTGACTCCTGACTGCTTCCTTGTTCTTTGCCCTCTCTTAATTGCCCAGGACTCCCCCATCCCCACCTGCCTGTGCTGTTATGTAATTAACCCAGCTGAGTCTCTTTGCCAAGCTGGCAGCATCCAGGGATGCCCCAGAGGCCTAAGGACCTGAAGGGATGCATGTGGTGGGAGGGTTGGTCCTGTCTCAGCTCAGCAGATGAGCACCTGTTGGGGAAGGAACATGCATGAGGCACATAGGAGGTTAGAGTCTTAGACTTAGCTTCCCTGAGGCTCTGGGGTCTTGTTTTGGTGGTGGTGGTTTATTTCTTTAATAAAATGAAAGGCGTCATATGCATGCACATGGTTGCCCAGGCACATACACTACAAGTATGTGAGTCCACGCAACAGTAAATAGTGACCCCTTCCAAGATTGCCAGGAGGTCCAGATGAGCGTCTGCAAAAACCTTAGATGACCAGTAGCCACTGTTCCTTTCTATGCCAGGCACTGGGCTTTCCACAAATAACCTTACAATACCTACAAAGTTTCTTGGACAAGGTCATACTTTAGGTGAAAGGCAGAGCTGGGAATCAAACCTTAATGGTTCTTACTCCAAGCCCTGTCTTTTATTTACCATCATGCACACATACATACCTATAGGCTGAATGCTTTGGACCAGGACAACCTAGGGGACATTCAGCTATGAATCATGCATATATGAAAAGAGCATGCACCTAGAAACACACACACACACACACACACACACACACACACACACACACACACACACACGGGGGGGGTGCTGAAAATCATGGCACTATCAGAACCTAGTCAACCTAACTCCCTGCACCCATTTACTAACTGTGGTTATCATTCAACCCAGTAGGAAGACTGACTCCTTCCAGTTAAGAGATTTATTTATTTTGTCTTGAAAGTGGGGGCTGTTGGTGCCACTTTACCTATGTGTAGAGCATGGCTCCAAAAGGTGTTTTATCCACAGACCTACAGCTAAAAAACAATCATCAAAGCTGGGGTTTATGTCCAAGCTCTAAAAGTCACAGGCACTGAGCAAGCAGAAAGCTAATGAATTCATCTCAAAGTCCAGCCCCTTCCTGGGCAGCAGCTGTGTGCTGCCAGGCTCTCTGAGCTCCAAGGGATGTCAAAGACTCAAACCCTGCTTTTAACCTGTCACTGTTTAGAATCACTAAGCTTAAACATGATAAGCCCTGCAACCTGTAGAAAGTAGCTGTGTGGTTTGGGGCACACGGAGCTTCTTCTCAGAAGTGCAAATAGGAATACTTTTCCCTTAGGGGTGTTGTATTGACCCAGGATAACCATGTGGGCGGGCTAGCAACCAGTGCTCAACTGTGTTGTTCTCCAGAGTCAATGCAATCATCTAGTTCAGTGGGACTTTGGGAAACACTAGGGGCATTTTGGGTCATCGTGGAACCTTGGAGGCTCCTGCGGGCAGTTATCTCCTGAGAGCCATAAAATTAAGATGTCTGGAATATGAGTCCTGCACAAAAAAAGAGCTACCTCCCCTGAGGATGCCAAGAGGGCCTGCACTGAAATGCACTTGTTCTTCAGAATGTGACTGAAACCAAGATGAGTTGCCATATATCCCAGGCTTGGGGCTGGGGCTGGGGCTGGG